CAATTTTCCTTCTCCCACAAGCTCCCTTCTTGACCAATATCTCAAAGTATGTGCCCTCAGAAAACCAGAGGGCAGAGATACAGAGAAAAGGATGACAACTCTATAATTGGTACACCCGTATTTGCATTATTAGGGCTTGTTTTCTTCTTCAAATTTCAGGCAAATTAATTCAAGTGCAAATGTTTTGAAGATGCAATACTCATTAGGGAAATGAAAAGTCCTTGGGAGGGAACAAAGGCTAGACATAGTGAAATGAATAAGGAAATGCAAAAGTAAAGCTGAATAAGCAGCAAAACATACTGACAGTGTGGAACAGGCTCTCATGGGACACAAAGGTCCAAGGGTTTTGGCAGCTAGCTAGTCTAGATGAGCTTTTTTTTCCTACCACTGGAAGCTTTGCAACCTTCAAAAAACACAATGGAGACAGCTCCATTTGTGTTGAAGTAAAATACGAAAATCTTTTTTAATGAAGATTCATGCACACCATCTGTTCCTGTAATGTATAGAACACGACAAAAACAGACTATGAGCTAGAAGTGAGGCATCAAACTGACTGTTCTCAAACCATGACCAGAGCCTGAATCCTTCAGAATTCCTCAGCCTGTAAAAAGTACACAGTGTCTTTGTAAGAGCTAAGGTTAACATTAATGGCCCTATGATATAAAGTTACTCAGATGCTTCTATGATTTGCATCAACTTCAGCATTCAAAACATAACTTGAGCTGGACACTTGCTGACACGTGTAAATCAAGTAAACAGCTGCTATGACCCCTCGTGTCTCAGCACAGAGACATATGCAGGGTGCAGGAATGAGACACACTATTTTTGGTAACTCTTCAAACTAGCAGGTCAGAGTAATGGAGATTATTCAACAATGTGCTGGGGGGAGGCTTTTACATATCAAACAACAGCATTATATTGCTGTTCCAAAAATAACCTTAACATTAAATCATTGGCCTTTTGCTGTCCCTTTTCAAACTTACCCCCATTATACCCAGTAACAGACAATAGCCATACTGATGTTTATACAGGTGCTGTTACTGCATCAGATGAAATCAGGAACGTGACTAACTCCCACTCTGACTCACAACACTGGGAAGAAAGGAAAGTTTTCTTTGAGCATCATCGAAAAGGAAAAGGTTTCCAAATAGTTATAGCTCCCACTGAGGAGTTTAGTTTAAACAAAGAGTTTGTTTAATTATTAATGTGTCCTTTTAATCTGTCAGCATCCAGTCAAGGGCAAAGCCAACTCTGTGTTAGTGATGGTAACAGAGACAAAATAGAAGGTAGCTGTGCTAATTTTTAAATAGCAGTTATGGAGTGATTTCTAAATATACTCACTTTATTGCAAAATTACCAGAACTAACACCTTCTACTGATTTCTTTCTATAACACTAAAACAATGCTTATTCTGCTGGATTAACCACCGGAGGTATGTGTATTCTTCATTTTTCTAAATAAGGAGATTTTGCTTCAGAATCAGAAAGAAAGACTTAAAATGCAATGGCTTTGTTTATTTTTGCAGCTCTGAGGATGAGAATGGCAAAGCTGGGGAAAAAAGTCCTTTAACAGCTGTAATGAAATGGAAGTAAAAATTACCACTCAAAGCAGATAAAGCTAAGAAGACTTTCTTCCACATACTTTTTCTGGATCGTAATGCTTGTTTTGCTACTCTGTTTCATGGGCTATTTTGCCCTCTGCATAATGCAATGGACTTTAACAGACTTTCAGATTTGACCAACTTCCACATGCACACACATCACATCCTGGGTTTTATTAAAAATAGTAGGAAGTTACATAAGGCCATAAACGCAGTGTATATACAAGTATGAAGACATGTGCATACCTGTTCTGACAATCAGAAATATGCTGTTGCTATATACACAGAGCAGATAAACACCTATCTCCATGGAACTTCACAGGATGTTGTTTCACATTAAAGGGTGCCAATCTATCTGATTTTGACTGAAAATGCTGTTGCAGCATTCTTTTCATAAAAGCATTGGTTAATAAAAAGCAAAATGTGAGAGAGGAGCAGGAAGACATGTAAATATAAAACATGCTTTCCTATTATACTACCTTGGATGAAATATAAAGCATTCCTTTTTAAGTGATAGCAGAACAAACAAAAAATAATTAAGCCAGCATATTGAAATATTTAGCATCCTTCTAGATCTCCACAGTCCATTCACCCTTCTATGTTACATATGACAGTGTAGCCATCCCCACAGGCTGTTCTATTCACCATCCCACAAACATGCTGCCCACCCACAACCTCACAGATCAGTCCTGTGCATAATATGAACAGCCTGACCTCCTCCTGAGCATGGTTTCACCTGCCAGCCTGCTGAGAAAGCTCCTTGCTTTTCCAAGAAACTGGTTGCCAGACAGGCAGTGCTGTCCATCAAAAAAAACCACAACAAAATAAAAAACAACCAAAACAAACAAACAAACCCCCAACAACATGAAAAAGGACTCCAACAGCCATAGTGTTTAGGTTTCAGTGGGCTGGGGAGCTAAAATCAGGCAAGCCTCCCATCAGAAATGCTGAGCTGTCAGTAGCTTGTTCTGCAGCTGAATACAAAGATCTGTTACAGGTGCAGCCACTGCTGGGCACAGTTCTCCAGCAAGTTTCAAGGCTCCCACCAAAAAACAGGTTAATTCTTTCCACATGGTAGAGGAGGTAAGGGCCCTAAAAGCAGGTTCAATCCCATCTGGAGAAATCACATCCAAGTCAGATTTTCCAGTACATAGTTCTTGGGAAGAAAGTGCCTCATAGGACACTACACCATTATACTCAAATCAGTACAACAGCTTTAATTTACTAGGTCTTAGCCTCAATTTGTAACACTAAATAGATAAAGCTCATGTTGTGTTTTTCTGGTATAGTTGACTCTAATTATGCACCAGTAAAAAAAACAAAAACACTGTAATTTTTTGCTGGTATTCTTTTCAAAGCAGGAAACTGAAGTTACTACCTCATACTGAGGCACGATGGTAGTAATTGACTGATTTGTAGCCTCTAAATACTTGGTGGCTCCCAGTCTGATGTGGGTAATAATCTCAAATTTTAAGACTTATCAGAAATGGTTACCTGGAGAGTGGAATAGTAAATAAGAACAAATAAATTTTATTATAGTACACTTCCTGTATGCCTATCCTCTTGTGTTTTGCTGTTTTATAGTGGTTTTTTTCCTTATGCTTCTTCTGTCATTTGCTGGTTGTGAAAGCAGAAAGCTTCAGCCTCAACTCTTAAGGATACACCAAAAAATGAGAGCAGGTGAGTGATAGGAAGTAGTCACAATTTTTGTAACAGAAGCAGATAGCTGTGTACACTCATCCTCTGCTCCCCCAACAACCTGTACTTTTAAACATAAATAATATGGAAAAGGGAGCAACTATCATCACAATACTAGCCCAAGTAGTTTAAAGGAAAGACTAGAAAGCTTTGTGCTTCTGGAAAGTAGGAATATTTGTCATCTGATTGCTACAGCCCCAGAGCTTTCCTGCATTTCATATCAACAAGAACAGAAATACAACATGGCAAATTATCTTTTCAAATGTCGGTAGAGATGCCATGCAAAACTCTAATTCATCATTAAAGCCAAGTGATTTCTAAGGCCCCACAAGACAAAAGTCTCTCAGAGGCAAAGCTGAAGCTGCAGTCATTCTTTGTGTGGGATGATGGTCATAAACAGCTGGTTCAGAGTGACGCAGCTTTGTGGTTCACATTATGTGAAGTCACTTTTGCACAGCACAAGGAAGACCAGCAGAAGCAAGACAGTGGTTGAACTAGGCCAGGTAGGAACTAAACCAGGTGGCTCCAAGCATGTTCTGAAGAATTTGTCCTGTGCCAGTTCTGCTGTACCACTTACTCAGGTATGTGCAACAGTTTCCTCCTTCACACAAACCCGTTGAAGAAGTCAGAATCAGATTTATGTGAGCAAAGAATTTCTCAGACCTACTAGGAGATCATCCCTGTTAACCACCCTTCCATTCACTTGGACTCTTCCTACTTCAGCCTGCACCAAAACCACTGAGGTATTAACTTCTGCATAGAAATGCAGAATACTGCAGTTTTTCCTTGGCAACTGCTGCTCATCTTCTGTTGTCTGGACAAGAATATACCCACATGACACAAGAAAACCATCCATATCTGCTCAAACAAAAGCCTAATAATAGATAGACATTCTGGAATGGGTGTTTGATGGCTATCTGTATGAGATGGTTTGAATTTAAAGACTGAGTTTTTGAAAATTTTTCCAATTAGTTCATTTAGGAACACCCTATTTTGGAAAACCTTTCCACGTCAACCTCTCACGGACAGGTTACAGCAAGCAAGCAAAGCAGAAGTGCTGTTTTTTGAACAAGGGCGCCACGTAGCGTTTGTTAGGCACTGATGGAACACAAAGCAGGCAAGCTCTCCTCTGCCTTCCCTGGGTAAAGGAAACACACGGCCATTATTACACGAACTGAACGTCTCCCCATCTTGGGATTTCTGACAAAACAGAAAACAGCGCAGCACTCCGTGTAAGAAGGAGAAATGAAATACACCTTCCCTGCTTCGTGCTGCAGCCTGAAATGTCAACTAACTAAAAACTACTTCAAGCAAAACAAAGTAGCTGTGAACTCCATTACATTTGCAGCAAGTAATTTTTGTTCAAAGCACAGGCAAAGCACATGATTTGTAGCTAAGCAAAGAGCAGGTGACGAGTATTTGGAGGCTGCACCTAGTAACCAAGACAGTAAACTACTTGTGAGACTATTCACAAATTTCAACCTGTCATCTATTTTCCTGCCAATATCAAACCCTTCTGCAGATTTTTTTCAAAGAAGTACAAATAAAAACTTTGGAAGATATTGGAATACAATGACATATTACTTCTTACTAGTTATGCAGGAAAAGGGTAGAAATGATGTAAAATAAGCAAGACTTTCAATCAATTAAGTTACAATATTGTACATAAGGGTTCCCATAAGAAATTAGACAACACCGCAAGCAGTGGGAAGAAAAAATTTATCCAGAACAACTGACAATTTTGTCAATTTAAAAGTTGAATTAGATGTGGAACAAGGAAACTTTTTTTCTTCTTGAGGAAAAGAAACTGCTTTAAAAAGTGAAACTATTTTAACATTCAATTTCAATAATAGTTTCTCCAGGAAGGATTTACATGGCTCTAATTTATAAAACAACATCTACAAAAAACTGACAATCCATTTTGCTCCTAGGCAAGCTTCTTCTAGTTTCCTTTTGACAGCATTTTCACATTACTAAAAGGGACAAGAACTTTTATTGAGATATTTACATTCATGTTTTAAAACCCATGTTCATTGTCACATGTAAATGAAACAACCCTCAGTACAGCTATTATAGAAAGAATTTGGCATTAACCTTAACTTAAAAAACTGACAATCATGCCTAGGTTGAGTGACTTTTCTTCTATAAATTCACAGTAGATGAAAGAGTCCCACAAAACTTTAGCAGAAGATGAGCCTGAGATTCCCAGGCTTTTTGAGATTAGAGTTCTCTAAAAAAACCTCACACCCACCCAGTTGGCCCCATACTCCTTGTCCTTCAGCTTGGGTTGTGACTCATTTCTTTGTAGTCCCCCCTTTCCCAGGCTGCATGTGACTTTCCTAAGGAAGATGATTCAACTTGGACTCACTGACAGTCAGCTGCTGCTGACAAAGGGATTAATCCCAGCTCCATAAATGCCCTTATGGATAAATCAAATATCTGAGCAGCCAAAAACATCGCTGACTACAAACAAACAAACATTCAGCTTCCTGACTATTACCTGCCCATGCAACAGGCTGCACTATGGACTTGGGAAGGTGGAGGAAGAGACAGAACCAGACAGCTTTGGTAACTGCACAGAACCACCACCTGACCCACGCCTACACGTGTTTTAGAGCTGCCCACACCCGTAGAGATGTTGCTGTAAAAGTCTATACTAAGTCAGGCCTCACTACTCACTCTCCTATCCAATCCTCCCAACATTTTAATTCCCAGCTATCTTAGTCTGCCTACCTGAAAAACATACCTTGAATTGCTACAATACTTTTCAATAAGAAAAATGAAGATGTGTGGGAGCAAGCTGTTCAGAGCCACAAAATACAACTGCAAAGCATATTAAGGTTTCATTTCCAAAATGTCATTTCAAGAGTATCCTTCCATACTTAGGCAAACCATGAACCAAAAATGTGAAACAATATAGAACCTTTTTAGTCTCTGTACCTAGTTCATATATTTGGAGAAACCTTTTGTTGACTAAAAAATTGCCCTCCAATATTCTTTCAGAATAGAGTTGTTACAGAATTATTATAGTTCTGTCTTCTAGATATGCCAGCTCAAAGGACTCTCACTTAACATTAACAGAAGCTACTTTTCCTGAAGTCAACCTAGCTCCCAATTTATGTTTTTCTCAATAGCACAATATTGAGAATATACAACTGCAACATTCCAGAGAAAGTATTTTCACTTCCATTAAAGCATCAGTTGGCATAAATGATTTAGAAGACAGAGCAGTATTTTGAGCAAGGCAAATGGTGTTTTTACTAAGTACTGAAGTTCTCTTAGAGCAGACAGTGCTTTTTGCATTTTATTTTTATCTATTTAGTTCATTCATCAACCTGCATTTGTGACAATCTTTCACTAAGTTTTGAGGTTTGGTTGGGGGTTTCTTTATGCACAAAACTGTCAAGAGCAAGAAGCTGCCATATCCCATATTAGAACACAGTAAAGGGGACAGATTAATCCAGACCAGTCATACCAGTTCCCCCAAGAATATTCACAAAAGGTTTAGGGAAATGACTACTCAAATAACACTTCTGGCACATCTTCTCAGTCTTCTTTTCACCTATAAGCTTCAATCAAGTTAACTAGTGTGTTTAAAAAAAATAGAGATTTCATTCCTTACTCAGGCAAAGGTTCCCATTAAAAGTCCCATCAGAAGACAGCTTTTGTAGGACTGCAGGATTTCTCTCTAGATTTGAATTCCCATCTCCCTAACACTGAGCATGACATACACATGCTATTCTTCTTCAATTACATCTTCAGGACCAAGTTGAGAAAAAAGTTGTAGTAAAAACTTGCAGATTTTTCAATTGCACAGTATTTTGTCACAAAATTCTCAAATACTTATTTCATACTTGGTTGATTGCTATCAGGAAGGCAACAAGGAATACTATATTTCCACAGACATAGATGGTTAACACAATCTGTTTAAACAGACGACCCTGCAAGAAAAGGGGAAGAAAAGTCATTGGACGGTCAGTCTTTTTATTGGTTTAAACAAAGAATCATCCCATTTCACAGTAGTTAGTTAGCAAATTGTGACTCACCTCTGCTTCTGCACATGTGAGTGACTGCAGTATCTGTACTCTGTCATCCTCTATCACTTCAACTGTTCATGGGAAGAAAAACAGAAGTCAAGTCTGCCCTTAAGAGGAAGGGGGGTTTCATTTTTGCACTGCAGAAGTCTCAATCCTGTGACTAAGTCTTACACAGCATCAAATCTGAAAAGGACTTGGGAGTTTCATTTGACATTTCAGGGCCTGTTACTATCACACTCACAGTACAAATGAAAAATTATACTGGTGCTGACATACAAAACAAATTCTGAACAATGAAGTCAAAAAAGCATTTTGTCTTTTGCTAGACTGGATAATCAAAACACTGAGTTTTAAACTAACACATCTTCCTTTTATATTTTAAGATAACTGGATTTCATAAGAAATATTTTCATTAGCCAACATGAGAACACTCATTTACCAAACATTTCAGGTTAATTTCCCTACTTCTAGGAAGTAATTACTGCAGTTAAATTTAAATTCACATCTTTTATAATCACTCTGTCCCCACATGCCACCTTAAACAGACTCTTAATTAATCAAACTTCTTCAGTTCTGCAGCTGTCTCATCTCAGCCTTAGACCCAGGTCACTCACATGTGCAGTCAGCTCCTCTCTGTGACACCAGCCAGTGAATATAACAATTTCTAATTAATTACTACCCATCTCTTCCCTAGACATATTGGAGTCAGGATTTCATATTCCTTCCCCGGTCAATGAATATGGCAAGTATTCAAGCTTGCTCCTGCAATAACAGCTATTTTTCAACATTTAAATGAAGATTAAATCTGCATTAATTAATCTGGACTTCATATACCCACCTGGGATCAAAATTATGGCAAAAAGTAATAGAGTCTCCGAAAATATTTACGTATTTCAGTCTGCACACTTTGGCCCCCTATGAACTGTGGTTTGAGAAATGAGAAGCTACTATTTAAAATGGCACAAAACCCACTCTTCTAGAACCCTTGTCTTAAAAACTGGTTTTCTTCCATATTCATTTGTCTACAGAAGATACGACACTACTAAAGAGTTACTCCCTTTCAGCTTCCAAGTTAGAGGCCAAAGAACACCTCCTGAAATTCAACCCACACTGGTTTCATTCTCAGCAAGCAAGGAGACAGCAGGAGTTTGCTGGTGTGTACCTTTACGAACAAGACAGTAGCTGTGTATTTCCAGAAGAACATCAGTACCAATATGCCAAGCTACAAAGCCCATCATGGCATAGGTGTCCCATGGGTCTGGCAGGTCAAGTGCTGGCAGATCCATTCCCAAGAACATAGTCACAACTATTCAGTAAAAACAAGATAAAAAACCCAATAAGAATGAGGTGCCAGTGTGCTTTAAAAATTCTATCAGTGCTTTTTAAATACATTTCCCATGAATTACCTAAAACTGCTTGAGGAACAATGTTAAAGGAGTTCACACAGCTGAAGGTTGTTGAGGACTTTTTTTTTGGAGGGATAGGGGGTTGTTTTGGGCTTTTTTGGTAGTCACCAGTCACAATATTAGTGCTTAAGGTTGCTGTGGAAGCTTGCCTCTATTACTAGAATTAAACCCAGCTTCTGGATCTGTAAGTGAAATTCCTGTCTTGCATTCAATAACATTGAACTATGCTACTGTAAGAACACTATTCTCACATCTTCCAAGGCAAAAATAAATTATGAAGATAAGGACAGGTCCTCATTACAGAGGAATTTCAGATTTGTCAGTAATTCCTTTGGTTTTAAAGTCACTTTTTCTCTCAGTTGCATCCAATGGCCCCTTAAAACTCACAAAAAAGATGGCCAAGAAAAAGGACCTTCAGACATGCCTGGACTGGATGTACATAGATGTTTTAAATGAACAACTGCCCAGCAAAAGACAAAGCTTCTTTAAATCAGTTAAATGGGAGTTACTTCTACTCACCAGCTAATATTCTAGCTGTTGTACCAGTACTCCAGTGAAACCAGTTAAACAGTTGCCTCCTACAAAACAATGAAACACATTTTATTGATTCCACCACTGGGGGAAGGAGTCAGAAATCAAAGAACATCTTTTACTTTCAAACTGTAAAAGCTTTCCATTTAAAGAAACAGTCACATTTAATTCTTGTGGCTGTAATTTAATGAGTCAGCTGTACCTTGGTGCATGACGAGATGGTCTGAAACCTGCCATAAGTGGTTGAAAGATGGTCAAAGCCATCACTGCACAGCCAAGATAAGGATGAAAACCTGCTTGCTAAACAGAGGACATTTTTCTTAAAAATCATATCTATATAAACAGAGAGAAAAGACACCAAAAAGTTGCAAATTGTATTTCTTCTTGTATTAGTAAGTTACAATGGAGCAGCACTGGCAGAGGCAGCAGGACACAATAAGCTGCCCTACAGCCAGGTGGAGATTGTTTGCCTTGGTAGCAGACACACTGGTATGTCCACTCAGGGCTTGTCTCACATTTCTGCTACATTGACAAATTCTACCAGCTGAAGAGCAGACTAACATGACTATAGAAACCACAGTCCAAGCTCTCCAGCCTCAATCCTATGTCTCCAGGATAGACCTATTCTATAGCTCATCCCACCACTGGTCTTCTCTTTCACCCAAAAATGTTTTATTCAATTACCCCAGCTCACACCTGTGACCATATTCTTGCACCTTGAATTCAGATACTCTCTAGGTTTTCCAACTTCTGATGTAACCTTGCATCAAACAGAATACAGGTGACAGCAACAGGTATAAAATCTCTATCTAGCTACTGCTCCAGACTAAGCTTATCACTCATTGTTATGTCTAAGTTCACAAAAACCCTCACTCCCATGCTAATGTCAGGATCACATCCTTACTGCCCCCTCAAGATCATATTCTTTAAGGAAGACCAAAGTAGTACATAAAGAAACTATGAGCAAAGTTATTTAGGTGAAAGAGGAAGGAAGGAAAACACCAAAATTTTTCAGCCGTAGTTTTAAAGGAGACAAAATTCCTCTTCTGGGCTGCCAGAATTTGTAATCAGCCTACTTAAAAACAGCTTTTACAGAAAATTGGTTAGAAATAGTCATAATAGCTGACAGTGGACTTCCTCATTCTTTTAGTCCCACCTTTACCTTTCAGTTAACAAACAAGACAAAATGTACACACTTACTTGGCTCCAGCCTCCTCGGTATACAAAAGGCAACACAAAAGAAATGCTTGTAAGCATGACTGTGGTCAACATAAGCATACGATGCACCTAGAAAAGTTGAGTTTGCTTTTAGAAAATCTACAATTAATACATCATTAAAAGACATTAAGGAGACCTACAGTTAAAAGATATCCTTAATCCCCACGTTAGACTTAACATTTACTAGTAAAGTAGGTGAACTTCTGATTTTTAATTGTTCTACTTCATAAGATTATACCATGTTTAGTCTATTTCTTGGATCTAGTAGGTTTATAATTCTGCTCGCAATAGTGCTAGAAAATACAGCTGGAGATAGGTGGGGATTTTGCCCACCTGAAACCACAACTCCTTTCCAAATAGGAATGAGTGAGACCAGACAGGTTTGAAGAATCGTGCAACAACAACACCAATACCAACTGTGGTCATCCAAGCAACAAACATTAGCGCTCCTGAAAATAGAAAAAACAAACAAACAACCCAACAAGGTGAATGATAGGTAACTTAACTGCACACAAATACACCTTCCAAATCTATGTAATTGTTTAGTCTATATGCACATGCTTAGAATTTAACAATAATTAAAAACATATCACCTGGTTCAGACTACAGCTTTATAGCCTTTATCTTGCTAGAGAACAGGAACATCCATGCAAAAGATCATCATACTTTTTTCCACACAACACAACAGAGCAGCTCTGGTTACTGCACATTTCACACATGCTAATACACTTTGTACACACTGGTGAGAGAAACCATTCTATCACCAACTCAGACATCAGATGATGACAGATGACAATGCTACAATTTGTGTGACAAAGAATGAGTGGCAGTCCGATCATGGACCTGTACTGAAGTCCAGTAGTGTGGGAGAAAAAATTCGCATTAACTTCAGTGGCTCTAGACTGCCAGTTCAGTGAGGTCTCATTTCAAATAGAACTAAACCAAATATGCAACTACAACAACTTGAAATAGAGAAAAGGAGACAAACAAGTCCCAGTTTTAAATTTAAGGGAAAAGGCAATGGTGGGTTCATTTTCCTGGGCAAAACAATCTTCCAACACTGTTCTTGAAACAAAAAAATCAGGAACTTCAATCTGCTGCCAGAGTACAAGATCTTGCTGCCAACAGAATGTACAACACAAATGCCAGAAACACATGAGGGACGAACCCTGCAATATAACCCTCCAGTCTAACCCTCCAGTCTCAGCAGCTCTAGAGCTGAGAGACAACACCAGAAACTGCAGCTTACCATGAGCCTTGATGAGCCGTGGGGCCCGGGAACCTCCTATATCCTGAGGCAGGCCTGTGATGTTGTACAGTCCATTGGTGACCAGGGGCTGACGGCGATGTTTGTATATGAGTCCACCTGGGCAGTGACAAAGTGATTTGTTTCTTGCTAATGAAGCCACTGCACTGGTGTGCCCATCCCTCATTCATGAATTCAAGCCCTGTTGTGACCACTGCACATAATCATACAAGCTAACACACAGTACAGTAAGAACCTAACATCATCTAAACTCACCCAGCTACAGAAAATACAACACATATATGAGTAAATTTGCAATAACTTCCACAAGGAAACCCATGATCCAGAGAAGCAGTAAAGTTGATTGAATTAAAGGCCTCAAGCTTGGAAGCCTTAGTTCAGACACCAATTCTCATCTAAACCATATCTTACAGAAGAGTTACTAACTCATTTGGAGCTGTTAAAAGAGAAGCAACCATATGTAAGTCAAGTTTACCTTCACTAGCTTCCCCATCTGCCAAAAAGATGTAGTAACTGGCATCCAGATTAAATCTCCCTTTATAAGCAGGGAGACGAATCCTCCTTCTGAAAGAACATTGAAGAAGACCATCTGCAAGCCTCCAGGACACATCTTCAAGGGCATTCTGCAAAACAGGAGATACTCAATATCCAGTGTTTTCAGACTGGCTGAGTAATTGGCTTAAAACTAACCCTGCAAAAGACAAGAGTATCACTGATCTACAAAGAAAAAAAATGTAAATTATCCAGGAAAAGGGGATCCCTTCTGAATTGGCATACAAGAGGTAAGTCAGTAAGTCAACATAGCAACTTAGAGTTTGAACTTATCACAAATTTTTACAGCCTACAACATTTAACTCAGGACATACCAGTTGCAGTTCTAGCAGCTAAGCTAAGCTTCTAAGCTCCCATCATATGACTAGCTTTACAAATTAAATTTAGAATTCAAAAGTAAATACTTACTATGAAGTAAGAGCCCAACCAATCTCACCTTAGAGAATTATGGATCCACCTCAGTATTTACCCCTGCTGTGCAAAACAAAAGCACAAAGCAGCAGCATACCTTACTTCAAAGCTACACCTGTCAAAGTGTCTGAGTTGTTTTAAAACACACCTCTGAATCCAAAAGAGGATAACTTCGCTCCTTGAGATGGGCGGTGCTCACGTGAATGTGGTGATCCACATTAACACACAGATAGGCATCATCACCACCCTGCAGAGTCAAAAAGAAAAATATAGTCCAATAAGAAACACTACTGGCAGTCTCCAAAAGGTCTTTGATTTAATATAGGCAGCAAGACCTGAGAGATTTCTGTAGTTATCAAGCTGTTATTCCCCATTTTCCAAGCACATCAGTATTATTACTAAGGAACCACATTAAGTCAGAGATGACACACAGAAACACACATTATGATTCACACTCCCCTCCCAGAACAACAACCATATTATCAGAAGTTTCTTTAATTATTTAAAATTTATCAAATTGACTAGACAAGACAGAGATGGATGTCAAAAATCCACTTCAGTTACAAGATTTTCTCCTGCCCAGCTGTAAAAAAAAAAAGGGTTGTTAAGAACCAAGGGTTCCTGCACTAGGGAGATAAACGTAAACAGCATCTCCTTTGTGCAACAAACAGCTTATGTATTATGCATTTGTCAACAGCATCATCCCTTAAATTTAACGTAAGTCAGAAAGAAGTATCTTTCAACATTTCTAAGACTGTTTGTATAGGAGTAACATCCAAGGATCAAATGCAAGTGGTTTTCTGAACAACTCAGTTTCAGAGAGGTAAGATTTTTTGAATAGGTAGAGATTGATTTAACCAGGAATTTCAGACAGGCTGAATTCTACCATAAGAGATATCTAGAGGGAAATTCTACTGCAGTTATTCAGTCCTGAGCTAAAAGTGAATAGTCACCTATAAGAAACAACCTTTTTTTTTAGCACTATGGAATAGTCACACTTTGTGTGACATCTGACAGTATTTCTATTTTCCATATGCATTTCCATTCAAACTTTACTAACATCAGAAGAAACTATGGAAAAATAAACAAAACACTCACCATCCACTGGTCCTGGGAAAAAGCAAATGCTAAATATCCTTCACTTGGACCACTCATTTCAATAAAAACTGAACTCTCCTCTCGTTGGAAGGATAGAAAAAAACATGAAGCACTCCCAGGATCACAGTTTGTAGGGTTCCTAATGCAGAACTTCGTAATTCCACAACCTGATGCACTAAACTAAACAATTAAGCAAACAAACAAATTGTGAGCAATGAGAGTTTCCATTCTCTTCCTCCTTTTTACCCATGGTAGAAAAAAAGCATACAAGGAACAACATCTGTGTCTCCATAACAATCCCTTAATCCATGTCTACAATTACCCTAGGACTACTAATTAAAATGATGGTGAATTCCAAGCGAAATTTGAGTTGAATTTTCGTTTTAAAGACATTACAGTATAATAACTTTGAAAAGTCAGCAAGAACTTCAGGAAAAATAAAAACTTCCTTTGGTCTAATATTTAGAGAGGTAGCATCAGCTGTAAATGAGAAAGAAAATAAGGGACCTACAGCTTTATGCTTGCTTTTGAAAGTAGAAACTCCACTGATACACATTGAGAAAATACATTGATTATAAGCCACAGTTATCCTGGATCAAATAGCTTGCTCGATCCCTTCAAGACTCAGCAAAAAATCAGTGAAACAGATGAACTCAGAAAAGAAAGCTTCTGAGCCTGCAGTTGCTAAATAGGAAGTTATTAGTCAAGAGCAGATTAAGTCTTTTCCCATCTCTCATGAGAAGTATGCATAATATTTTCTGATCATTGATTTCTAAACTTTCTGTTAATCTTCTCACCTGTGTGCAGCATGAGAACATTTAACCCTGCAAAGTTCAGGCAACTCACCTAAAGGCAGCTGTCATGTTCTTAGCCTTAGATATCAAAGTTACTCATCCACCATCTCTCCATTTTTGTTACTAGGCTGTATCAATGTCATCTCATTAAATTCCAGTCATCACAAGCATTAAAGACTGCCTGATTTAGCTTTATCATTACTTACTGGCTTTGATATGTAGGAAAATGGGTGTGAAGTTGACATAGCCTTTGATGTTGCATGCAAAGGTGGTGTTGGGGACAGCACATCAGGCTGAGAAACAATGGGACCCGGAATTTTCACCCAGAAAATCCTGTATTTCTTCACAACTGTGGCTCTTAAAAAACACAACACACACAGAATAATTACAGTATATATTTATAGTTGGCTGTTACTTTAAAAAAGAAAATAATCTATAGTTCACAGAAATTATAAAACCCTCATCTTTATGGAGATCTCTACCATTTTAGGGATTGAAGAAGAAAGTATCTTAAATCCTAGAAAAAGAATTTTAAAACAGAATACCACATGCTGCACAGAATATAAGAAACTTCCATGCCTATGGCATGGATTAGAACTTCAGAGAACAGTTACATTGCTTCTATCCTGTAGTTCAGAAAAAGCTAGTAGTGTAACAGGAAGGTATGCATATCATTTAGTGAGGTACAGCAAAGAGAAAGATTCTTAAGTGTATATTGCAGGTGTGAGAAGTGAGAAGGTAGCTAGAAAGACTAAAGGAACCAATCTTCAAATCCCCTTATACACTCCCTGGGAGAAGGAAAAAAAAAGGAAAGGAAAGAAAAGGAAAGGAAAAAAATCACCTTCAAGCTCTTCCTAAAAAAGTATCTGCATTAACACAGACTCTGGAGCAAGTAAGGGGTGTTAACTTTTCAGGTCATTGGACCCAAGGGCTTTTCAGTTGCTGGACAATGGTACAGGTTTACTTTTTCTGCATTTTAATAAATATAATTAATATAAACCTATACCAAGTTTACTTACAGAAACTGTACATGTTTTGGAGCATCTTCAGGAGCAATCCAATAAACTTTTATGTCTGTCTTTTTTGCTTTACTTGTGTGACTGACAGCTGAATTCTGAAAACACACATATATCAAGAATTACAGTGGATAAACATTTTGTTACTTAACACAGTCAGGAGAGGCTGCAGCTTAATCCTACACAAACACTGCAGTTACACTGCACTACCCCAGTCATGATCAGCTCAGGTGAGGTGTAGCACAGCAACTTACTCAAACTAACAAACTTCAAGACTAAAAGGAAGGACTTTCAATCCAGAAAATTCCAGAAATGAGCTAGAGGTACCTGCAGCATTTTATACAGAAATAGTGAGATTCTCTTAGTAAGGAAATACTCCACTTTTTAACAAGAGGATGAAGAGATAGAACAAGCCCCTCAGTGCCCACTAAATAATTGTGAAGCACTGGACTCTACCTTGGTACGACCACATGTCAGCAGCTGAGAATGTCTCCGGTCAGCTAGCACAAAAGATCCAACTGCAGGGCTATCCTGGTGCTCTGCATCCCGAGCCTGTATGAAAAATCCTTCAAAATCTGGTCCAGACAGATGAACTAAAGCAAGAAGAAGAATAAGGAAGTTTAACTCTACTCCAGAGGAAGAAGGAAGTATTTCAACAACAACTACCAGACACTCATTTTACACGTACTGAATGATGGTTAATGGATTACCTAAACAAGATTCAACTGCTTAGATAAATCCAGTATAGAAAACTGAGGAAAGACACACTATAATACAAAGAAACAATAAATTAAACTCTTCAGCTGTAACTGACACAATACCTTCTATATTGTCCCCTGGTTTAAATTCAGTCCCATTCACTGTAATGGTGTGCTCAGGTGACAGATGAGGAGAGCCACCATGACAGGGTACCATGCTAGTACAGGCTTCTCTTACTTTTCCATTTGGATAGCCAACCACAGATGCATAGAGGCAAACAAACATCCAAACAGCAACAGCAAAACCAGGCAGCTCCATCTGTATAAAATAAAATTTACAGGCAATTAAACACAAATATTTACATTACAGGTCACCATTCGTCTTTAGGAATCAGTTGAATGGTAGAATACAAAACCATGTTCAAAAAAAGCATTCATGAGAAGACACCACTCCCAGCTTCTGAATAACTTCTGCTTCTGATAACTGCCAGACATTGTTAGAATGTTCAGATACCATATTTCAGGCCATCTACAGGCTGTCGATGGATCCCTCCATGTACTGGATGGATTATTTCCCTCCATGCATTTTGACAGCACTTTTTTTTAAAAAAAAAGGTCTTTTGTCAATCCCTCTCCTGTTCTCTCTCTATCAAAACAAAAAATTCAAGTTCCTTAAACATCTGCACAGGACAGATAGATCTTAAAACATGCTTCACAGATATATAAAGGTCAACAGTATTGAGGAACTACACAGCTAGTATCAAGCCCATTTTTATTAATCATAGCTTCAAATTTTGCACCATTACAGACTGCCTTTTGTTTCCACAACCCATGTCTATTTCCTCACAGATGACAAATAATTCCCCAGTAACAAGTTCTTCTTTCTGCAGGGAAACTAAAGTTGCCAAATGCCAGAAATAAAATTTATACATGCAAGAATTAGAAATTGGTATGAAGATTTAGATAAAGAAATATGTATGTTTGCTGCAGATAAGCCCAAGATTTCTTCTTTGAACTCTTCCTTTTGGATATTGGACCTCTAGACAATTAGTCAAACAATGGATTTGGCTTGTCACACTGTTGTCAAGGGAACAGCATGCATGAAAGACAAGGGATAGAAGGACTCTGGATCCTAAAACAGAACCCCTAACCTCAGCTTTCATCATACAATGTTTTGCCCCACCACAATACTGTTTTCATAAAAGCTGTGGCAATTGTTTTGCTGCTCCAGTAGCATGCAGGGCTTACAGCTGTACTGTGGTTTTACAGAACACCTAAGCGAACAAAAGAAAGCGTTTCCACATCCAAAAGGCCAGGAGAACAGAGAGAAACTTTATTTCAGTCCTTGGGCACAAGAAGTGAGTTATCAGCTCTGGTGCAACACAGACCAGGCAAGTAGGCCTGCCTTCTGGAAGGGCCATGCCCATTTTGCAACAAGTGATAAGATGTATCAGGTTATGAAGTTCCCTGACAGCATGGATGGACATGAAGATAAGAAACACACAGAGCCATTTCAGACTGAACTCTCGACACCTAAAAAGCAGCCAAATGAAGACAAGGCACATAATTATCTTACACAACAAGAGTCATCAACATGAACTCTTCTAAAGTTCTCATACATGGAAATCCACAATTTTCAAGGCAATGATATGTTTGTACTTCAACATATGGGCTCCTCAGCAATTTTACACCACTAAATAGAAGAAAATCAGAGGTAACAGTGTGTTGAACAGTTAGGTTTCAAGAACTAGAAAATTCTAGTCTCTCTCAACACTCAACTCCTCCCAAATATTCAAGATAACATTATGATCATATCTTTAACTTCTAGTTCAAGTATTTCCTTCTAATTGATTTTTTATACATAAGTTAAAGATGCCTATAGAAAGCTAAAGACTAAGGTTTAGTACAATTATATGTACCAGAGAAAATTTCAAAACAAGAAGAGATAAGGCTGCATATCACAGAGACAAGAAAAAGAGCATCCTTCTGCTTTAAGTAGCAGAGGATGTGGTAGGGATGTAAAGGAAACAAGACATATTCTTGTCAGATTCAACTGTCTCAAAAGCTGCAGAAGAAAAAGATTAAGTAGAGATTAATAGAATTAAAAAAAAAAAAATCTGAAAAAGATTTGGATAAACGGAGAGCAGTAAGTTACTTCTTCCCATGCTGAAAACAACTCTACAGTACCTGCAGGTAGCCCTGGTAGCCTAATAGCTCATGAGCACAATGCTCACACTCCAACTCAGGATCTCTTCATAGAACTCATCTTCTTTCAGCTGTTTAAATTCATTAGCTGCCTAGTGTGAAATCTATAACTTCAGAGAGGAGGAAGAGATGAGACAACAGTCAAGGAAAACATACTGCCAACTCAAAGGTACAAAACTACCCTTGACAGAAATTTCTCCTGAGCACCATCAGACAAGAGGGCCAACAAAAAAGGAAAGAACCACCTAAAGGGGAATAAGCTATATTAATATAAGGGGTTTATAACACATTCCTTTAGAAATAGACCCCTACAAAGGGAAAGAAGACAGTGTTGCTGTCCAAGAGTCACCCTCCCTCTCAATTCATAAAAAGAGCTTGAGTTGTCCTCTTCTGCTTAGTTAAAGGTGGTCATATCAAGACAGCTGGATTGAGCAAGGACAGAAAACATATTCATACTAATTCATTACTTTTAAAATATAAACACACAAACCCCCCCAGGCACACAAAAAATACACACCTCAGCATTGTGTTCTTTCTAGGAAAGAGAATTTCAAGGGCATATGTGTTTCAAAATTATTTTTTGTAACAGTTTGAGCGTAGGTACTTACAGTACAGCTAGTCCTTCTGTTGCAGTGACAAAGCCTGAGTAAAACTGCCATTGGCTTTCTACTTGTAGTAAAACAATTTATATGACTTTGTAATGCCTTCTATTTGGTTTGCATCTAACTGTATTAACCTTTACCATATCCAGGAAGCTTGTCTGAAAAAAGAAGCAGTATACACATGAAAAAAAGTAAGGTTTATAAGAGAATCTTTCCTTCAGGTGCATGTTATACAGCTTCCCCACAGTTGAGCTGAAATGCATGAAGCCATAATGAGACACTGACTCTGCAGCTTCCTTTGCTTTTTCAGACACTTTCCCAGACCTCAAAGAGTTTCATACTACGTAATTACTTCATTATCTTCTGGTGCAGTTAAGGGCAGGCAGGCAGGGGGAACCTACAACCAGCTTTTGATACCTTCTTCCTCCAAGTATTAGCTGACATAAATTTGCAGCATGATTTTAAAACTCATTATATATTTACTCCCTATCAAAGAGGCACTTTCTTTTAGAAGAAGAATAAACAATTTTTAAAATATGGTAACCTTCTCTTTTTTCTATATATCTCACCAAGAATGAACAGGAGTCAAGGATTTTGCCCTTTCATTCGTTTGCTTTAATGATTTTACTTGGGCAGCTGCTCTGCATAGAATCTTCACGGCCCCATCCTTGAAGAGCTTTTATTTATATGAAGAGCTCAAAGAGAGACTCATCTAAAAAGATGTAGTTTGCTATCCCAACAAGTAACTTCAAGAATAGCACGAGCACATTTACTGTCACAGTTACCATAGAGCCGTCTCCTATGCACGTTAAAAAGAAACAAAATACAAAACTAATATTCTCACAACAAGAAGCAAAAAGGATACCAGAAGAACGTTGGTGGCATGGCTTTGAGATAAAATAAGCCATAGCTTACCTTGACTCATTAAAGCATACAGGTTTAGGAGTTCTCTACAGCAATTCAGAAATCTTGCATAAAAAGCAGCATCTACACAGTGCCCTAAAAACGCCATCAGATTTTACTTTGCTTCATACCTGCTGCAGATATTCTATTAAGCAAATACACTTTACAAAAAGCTTGCAGTACCCACTTCGAGCACTCACTGGCATCAGTTTAACCGAAGCACGACTCCAAAGGCTACAGCAGCTCCTCAGCCCCGCACGCCCTTGCCCCAGGGAGCCCCGCCCTGCTCTTCAGCACCGCTGCAGTGGAAAAGGACGAGAGGAGAAGCGCAGCCGATCCAAGCAGCCGCTCCCTCAGCTCCAGCCTCCCCCGCGGCCGCGGCGCTTTTCTGCCTGCGGGGGCGGCCGCACGCGGGGCCCGGGCGGGGCCGCGACCGCTCCGTGTGCCCGCCCCAGGTGCCGCCCGCCCCAGCCGGGAAGCTGTTAGGGCATCTCATTTCTCTTCAGCCTCCCACCGCCGGCGGTCTGGGTGCCGGCCTGGGTTAACAGCTTGAGTTTTACTGAGAGATTGCCCTTGCCAAAGCTTACAGAGCTCATTAGCTGTGCTACCCGTGGAACGAAAGGTGGTCTCATCTACAGGCTTGCAAAGTCAGGCCTTTCTTATCAAGAAAGCAAATAAATACTGGCTGTGACTGGGGCTTTGCTGGCTGTAACTGCAATTGCTTACATAGGCTTCTCTGACATCTGTAGTGTTTAAATCAAAGTTCTCAAATGCTCACAAAGAGACCCAAAAAGACAATTACTTAGAAATCCAACAGTAATTTTGCCCTCACACATCATAGAAATATTGTGTTTGTGTTAAAAAACACCTTTACTGGAGATCTATAGTGATTCAGTTGCTTACTAGTAGTTCAGGGCAGTTTTAGAGATCCTTGTACTATTAATTTGGTAATATTTTCTAAAAAAATAATAACTATCTACTAAAATATGACAAGCTAGGAAATGCTGTGTTAGTGTTCACTCTTTTCTCAGTTTCCATAAAAGCAGCATTAACCTTTAGAGGTACCCTGTGGTAACATATTAAAAAATATATTTAATGTGAAAAACAGTAAGGGATTATTTTGCCTAATCAGAAAAATTATTTGACTGTTACTTGTATTATCTTGCTCATGGGAGTTACTGGGAAGCTGAGATCTCACTCAGTGTTCAGTAACTGAAGAAACATCATGCATAAGCAATAGCTTGAAGTGAAAGTGAAATATGTCTATTTCCCCCTAGCTGGGGGAAAAAATAATTCTGTTTCCAACTGCATTCATAAAGTTCCCACATATGAAAGAGTTTGATAGAATTGCAGGCCTAAGTACATACATGCTTTATTATGTGCCTGTGTGTTTTTAACTAATACAGATACATTATTAGTAAGACAAGTAATAGTATAAATATATTTACAGTAGGGAAACTGGTGACCAGAGGGACCTGTATTCTTGACAATATTTAGGTTCATAACTTTCACAGAGTATAGTGGATTTAATACAAATATTTTAAGATATTATTTTAGGGTCTTGGCTCATTGACAGAATGGGGTATATATGTCTGAAACATTATAATATATATAAGTATATATGGAAGTAATTTCCTAAGACTCATGAGAAGGGATGAAAATGCAAGCTACAATTGTGTTGGAAACGATAATCAAAGTTTAAGAAGAAAAAATAATTTTTATGTGAAAAGTAAAGAGGGTAAGGGAAGGAACACTGTTTTGCTTATCATTGTATAGCTTCTCTTATTTGAAAAGATGTTAGCTATTGCTAAAGAGCTGCAAAGCAAGAAAACCAAGATAACACCAAGAGAACCAGTGAGAAGAAAAACCAACTCTGTAACTACTGGGTACAAGTCCCCAGCAATCATCAATCTCTCTGGAAGGGCTCTTTTCAAACACACCAGCCTCCTTTAAAAATAGTACAATCAATAATTCTGCAGCCTTTATGAAAATGTTTCTATGAAAGGGTACTGCTTGATAATTTTTTAAGTGTCATATCCAGTATAAAGTAAACAGAATGCATTAGGGTATATGGACTATAAAAAGTCCACAGCTGCATCTTCTTTGTAAAGTGTACTGAAACTGTTGTTTGTGTGTTCATAACAATTCTGTATTTATTTCAGAGCAGATGTTCTACCTTAACCAAACGAGATAGAGACATAGAGGGCTGGGGGTGGGTTTGAACCTTCCTGCAAGCCTGAAGAGATAAAGCTGTGTAACCTACTATTGACCTGTGTCAGAGGATGAGGACGTCAAGTGGCAAACGAATGGAACAACATCTAACATGAAAAGAAGCTGATGAGGCTTTTTGCATGGTTTATTATAGGCACTTAAGGAAGTAAGTGGAAGCTTATAATTTTGAAAGCAACAGGAATCTTGTACAGGAGACTTCATTCCAAGTATATAAAGAGGAATTTCTCTTGCTTAAGAATCAAGAAAGCAATTAAGTAAATATATATAATTTTGGAAGTTAACTATTGTGCAGTCCAGGGTTTATACTGATAGCTATTCTATTTTTTAAGCCCAAAGCTATATGGAAAACAATAAGCCATTGAAGAGAACCCATATTACCATGTGAGTCCTTCTAATCAACTTTCCTCTTAGGTATTAAGCTAACTATTCAGCAAAACTGTGGCATTTTAGGTCAGACCTTGCTCAAGTTTCATATATGTGCATTGAGCTCTATGTTACTGGCAAGTTATCATCATAAAACATCACTGGAGTTCAAATCAAGTGATATGCAAAGAGGCTGCATCCCTACCAGATTGTTTTGATTATGGATAACTAGATCGAAGAATTTTTTGTTACTAGCATTTCCTATTTTGGAATGTTGAAATATGTTTGAAAAAGTGCATTGGAGTTGGCTGAATACATGCTGGATACTAGGCTTTCTCTGAAGAGAACAGTCCTGGCACCAATATTCACCCACCTCTCTCTTGTGTAAACTACACATACAAAACCATGCATTTCAAAATTTTTCAAGCTTTTCAGCATTATTGTCTTAGTTAAAGATTTATTAGGGATTTTTAATGACAGTATTGTTATCTTAGATATAAAGAATTCTTCCTACCAAATCAGTTTGTGTATGGTGGGGTTTTTTTCCTCCCAAAGAGAGGAGAATGTTGAGTCATTGAAACAATCCTGACCATCTAAAAGGAAATAAATTGTGATAAAGTCATAATGTAGGATGAGATTTTTTTCTCCATAATTAATAATTTAGTTTCCCTTGAGCTTTGGCACTGTTTCATATTTACCTGGTTTGCCAACTTACCGTTAATTTACAAATTAGATTAAAGTATTCCCCTTCTGTTCAGAAATGTCCTTCTACTGTATGCATTTTTTGATTATTTACTAATCATATTAATTTCATAATTTTTCTATGTCACACATAAAATGTGGACTTGGAACCGTATTTAACCGAAAATATTTGTTAACCTAGAGGTAAAAGGCATTTTACAGTTTTCAGTCAATGACTGTAACAAGCCACCTGGTGGCAGTAGCCAATCAGTCAAATAAGATTTGCCAGTTGACTGCCAGAAACCTGCTTTGGTTTTGCATCTTTATTCTGACTCAATAGCTGAAGTCCCTGCCCCACAGCTTTCCACCAAAATATGTATCGAGTATGACTTACATAGATTTTTTTTTTTAAAAGTACTTCCTCGCTTATCTGACGCTAAATATTTTCATTGGTTCCCTGATACCAATTTGAGACAGGTCTGTATGGGTGTTATGAGAAAATTACACACAAACTGTCACCTTTCTAAGAGCCTCCACTTATGCAGTGCCCAACACACATAAATTGATAAAGGACTTCAGTAAAATCATTTCACCCTATTCAAGTGATGTGGGTAAGTGCTTTGTCTAATGCACATTATCAAGTTTTATCTGATGAAAGTACTGCATTATTAACTTGAGTTTTATGTATTTTCTGACCATTGCTGTGATGCTTTTTTAAATTATTAATTTCATTACATCAGCAAGATGTGATATGTTTTTATTGTTCTGCTTTACAGGGAGCAAAGAGCTTGCTGGCAAAGGCATTGACCTGTAAGTGCTTCAGTGTAAGGCACTTTTGTCCTGATTACAGAATTCATAATGTCAAGCTAAGATTAATTGAAATCTTGTACAACGTTCTCTCACATAATAAGTTTCTTTGCCAGCCAATCTCAATTCCTCCTTTTCGCCCCCCCCCCCCCCATCTTTTTTCCTCTGCCCTTTCACTTGGATTAGGAACTAATTTTCCTACCCTTTTTCATCTCATCAATCCTTTCTCAGACCACCCATTTCCATTTCTTCATCTTTTCTCAGCAGCTCCCAATTTAATTCCTTCATGGCTTTAAATGCATTCTCTGTTCAGACCCAGCATGTCTGTGGTTTTGCAGTTGCTTTGGGTCCAAGCACAAGCAGTGCTGCTGGAGGGATGATGCTCAGCACTGTCAGTTGTAGCAACATTCCAGTTAGTACATGTCCAGTGCCCCTGTGGGGGAACCATGATGTTTGAGTACTCCTCATGGGAAGGGGGACTGCTTCATCCTGCTCATGTTTAATATCTTTTAAAACAAATGCTTGTGGTAGTCATACATTTGGTGAAATATTTTCCTTCTGCAATATATCACCCCATGTTAGCCTGTTCAAATTACCCTGGCTTGAATTCTGCCTGTGCTGAAAGATTACAGAGCAGGACTACAGTTCCCAGTATTAGCTTTCAGATAACTTAGTGTAATTATTTATTTGCTTAAAAGTCAGATGTCAAATATATAGAACAGAAAAGAAAAATCAGTTGGTTACCATTTGAACTCAAAGACCTATCTAGGTAAGATTTAAGGATTATTATTTTAATGAACCAGGAAAATATTCATTATATTCTTAGTATAGTTTGATATATTAGGAAGGAACATCATAAAGGAGATGGAGTGTGCAAGAGACACTCTGAATATTTATTTTTGAGGAGAAAATAGATCTGCTTGATAAGACAAGCTACAGTTCATTTAGGAATAGATCCACTGAAGTCTTAAATCTCAGCATATCTCACAAGTATTATATGGAACAATTCACAGGAAGACAGAAGTGGTTCAGCACACTGGTATGATAAGTTCTCCTTCTACAACAAAAATTGGCCAGGTATATGTGAATCAATTTTACACTTAACTAAGTTAAATGGTACAAGAATATAATTCAGATAGTTTTGTTTGCCAAGTCCCACGTTTGCAGATTATTAATATCAAAATAATGTGATGCTATTAGCCAAAGCACAGTCAAATGTATCTTAAGCACTTATGTGAAAAGCTGGTTTAATGGCATTTTATATGGTCCTCTT